AGCAGCAGTAGCTGCCGCAGCAGTGGGTGCTGTGGCTGCCCCAGCGCTGCTGCTGCTGCTGCTGCTGCTGATTCGGAGTGCCTTCAGCAGATATCTCCACGTGGTTCTTGCTGCTAGCCGCAGCAGCAACGCCCCAAAGTGCAGCGCACGAGACAAGCGACCGGTGGGGAGGGCTGAAGCCTTTAAGGGCTCTGCTGCTGCTGCTGCTGCTGCTGCTGTTGCTGCTGCTGCTGCTGCTGCTGCTAGGGTTAGGCGGCATACGGCGCCACTCCCCTGGAGCTGTCGCTGCTGCTGCTGCAGCTGCAGTGTACGTACACCCGAGGTCTCTGCAGGCGGCGAAGCCCGCTGCTAATTTTTCTGCTGCTGTTGCTGTGACGACCTCCGCTGTTGCTGCTGTGGAGCGCAGCATCTGTGAGAGCTGCTGCTGTTGCGGAGTTGCTGCTGCTGATGCAGCAGCAGCTGTTGCTGCTGCTGCCGCAACTGGGGGGCTCGAGCAAGAAGTGCACAGACACCGCAGGCCCCATGAAGCAGGGAGCAGCAGCAGATCTGCTGCTGCTGCTCCCGATGAAGTGCTGGTGCTGCTGCTGCTGCAGCTGCTGCAGCAATTGCGCGCCTTTGTGTATAATCTCCGATGCTGCTGCAGCAGTGGCGCCTGCTGCTGTAGCAGCAGCAGCGACGGCTGCACTGGCAGCTGCTGTTGCCGCAGCAGCAGCACCTGCTGCTGCTTTTGCTGCTGCAGTTGCTGTTGCTGCTCCTGCTGCACCTCTACGTGTATGCAGCGCAGCAAACTCGGCAACAGCAACAAAGGCAATGAAGTATCCTTCAAGCCAGCCCAGCCAAAGGCGCCACAGCAGCTGCCAGATGCTGCTGCTGCTGCTGCTGCTGCTGCTGCCCCACCTCTTAACAACTGCAACATCAAGCTGCTGCTGCGCAGCAAAAAGCGCGAGTCGTCCAGTGTCTCCTCTGTCGCTGCCGCTGCACTCACTCCACACCTCCAGGGAAAGAGAGGCCCAGTCTTCGTGCTGCAGCAACTGCTGCTGCTGCTGCTGCTGCGGCTGAAGACTCTGCTGCTGCTGCTGCTGATGTTCAGAAAACGACGCCCCACGGAGCAGCAGTTCAGAGTACTGCATCTGCTGCTGCTCCTGAAGGGCAAGCCTTTGCAGCTGGTGCTGTAAAGGAATTGTTTGCTGCTGCTGCCGCAACTGGTGCTGCTGAAGCAGTTGCTGCTGCTGCTGCAGCAGTTGCTGCTGCTGCTGCAGCATGGGCCGCAGCAGCCGCTGCTGCACCACCTCACGCCTGAGGCCCTGCTCCACTGCCCAGCGAGAGAGACGGTAGTGCTGCTGCTGCTGCTGCTCCCGCAGCCACCGCAACTCTGCTTGTCTTTGCTGCTCTTGAAGCTGCTCCTGCTGCAGCAGCAGCTGCCGCTGCTGCTCCTGCTGACGCTGCATGTGCTGCTGGAAAAAGAGCAGCAGCTGATCCAGTTGCTGCTGCAGCTGCTGCAGCCGCTGCTGCTGCTGTCGTTTGCGCTCTTCTTCAGAATCGTGCTCTTGCTGCTGCTGCTGTTGTTGCTGCTGCTGCTGCTGGCTGTGCTGCTGCCCCTGTATGCTGCGGCAAGACAGGGCCTGACCCCCTGCCTGCTCAGTATCAGTCGGTTGCTGCTGCTGCTGCTGCTGCTGGGCGTCCAGCGACACGCCGAATTGCTGAGGAGTTTGGCTTCCCACATGCTGCTGCTGCTGCTGCTGCTGCTGCTGCTGCTGCTGCTGCAGGGGGTTCCAACGGGTCACAGTCCTTTTGCTGTTGACGGTGCTGCTGTTACTGCTGCTGCTGCAGCTGCTGCAGAAGCTGCTGCTGCTGCTGTTGCTGCAGCTCCTACGCCGCTGTCTCGCGTCTTCACCGAAGCCGACAACCCCTTTGCGGATGCCTCCCTGCACTGCTGCTGCTGCTGCTGCTGCTCCTGCGGCTGCTGCCGGAGCAGCAGGTTCTTGCTGACAACGGCTGCTGCTGCTGCCGCTGCTGCTGCTGCTGCTGCTGCTGGAGCCGTGAAGGGATGAATACGAAGGCCCTGAGGCTCCTCCCACCGAACTTGTGCTTGTCAACAGCCGCACTGCTGCCGCTGCTGTTGCTGCTGCAGCAGCAGCAGCAGCAGCAGCAGCAGAAGACGCCGATGCTGAAGACGAAACAGAAGACCTCGGCCGCTGCAACGTGCGGCTCCCGCCGCTGCTGCCTGCGTTGCTTCTGCTGCTGATGTCTCTGTTGCTGCTGCTGCGGTTGCTTACCAAGCTGCTGCTGTAGTTGCTCGCCCAGCTGCAGTTGCTGCAGCTGTCGCGGCTGCTGCTGCTGTTGCTGTTGCTCCTGTTGCTGTTGCTGCGTCCCCCAGGAAGGCTGCGGCTATGGGCAGCCGCAGCAGGCTGGCTCATGCCGGTCGTGCAGTAGCTGCTGCTTTTGCTGCAGCAGCTACTGCTACCGCTGCAGCAGGTGCTCCTACAGGCTGCTGCTGCTGTTGCTGCTATCGATTGTTCTGCTGCTGCTGCTACTGCGAGCGCTGCGCGCGTTGAAACTTCTTGAAGAAAGCATGAGGGTGCTGTCCACCTGCAGAGACAGCTTCGTCTGCTGCTGTTGCTGTTGCCTTTGCTGCTGTTGCTGCAGCAGCAGCAGCAGCTTCCGCTAAGGAATCGGGACTGTTACAAGGGCTGCAGTTCTGCCAGCAGCAGCTGCTGCTGTTGCGGTTGCTGCTGCTGCTTCTGCTGAGCGAAGACAAGTCTCGAGACACTTCCCACGGCCGTGCGTACACCGCAGATACTGCAGCAGCAAGAGCAACAGCAGTAGCAGCAGCAACTGCGTGCGTTGCACGTCGACGCTGCTCCAAGTCAACTTCTATGCATGCATGTGCTGCAGCCTCCTCTCTGCTGCAGCAGCAGCAATTCAATTGTCCGGGGATCCGCTCCCGCTGTACAACTCCAGCGCAGCAAGGACAACCCCGAAGGCAGCAGCAGCAGCAGCAGCAGCAGCAGCTGCTGCTGCTGCCGAAGATACACTAGATAAACCCTTTGCCTTCGAGCCCTGTACAAAGGAAAGACATTTGGCGAAGAACAAACATCTAACTTCTGCAGCAGCAGCAGCAGCAGCAGCGGCAACAGTGTGCAGCAGCAGCTGCTGCTGCTGACGCCTCCAGCACTGCTGCTGGGGGCTTGCAGCTGCTGCAGCAGCGGGTGTGCTTGCAGCAAATTATGTTTTATCTGTTTATTGTTTATTTTAATAAGGATATTAAAACAGAAAATAAAACATAATAATATAAGCTGGGCCCCCCGCTGCTGCTGCTGCTGCTGCTGCTGCTGCGCTCCGCAGCAAGGCGCGGCAACAGACTACTGCTGCAGCAGCAAGGTCTGGTGTGTTGCTGCTGTTTTACTGCTGTTTTGCTGCGGCTTTGCTGCAGCATATGACGGTAATAAAGGGGTTGAAAGAAGCAGCAAGAAGGACTATTGCTGCTGCTGCTCTTTGCTGCTGCTGCTCTTTGCTGCTGCTCTTTTGCTGCTGCTCTTTGCTGCTGCTTGCTGCAGTGTGTTTATTTCGGGTGGGGTTGTGTGTTGCCGAGTTTCTCTGTAAGCACTCTGATAGAATGAAGGGAGGAGAGAGATAATTTGCTTCTATTGCTTAGTGCTGCAGCAGCAGCAGCAGCATCAGCTGCCGCAAAAAGAAAACGAAGCATCAACGACAGACCTGCAGCAGCAGAAGCAACACCACCAGCAGCAGCTGCTGCTGCTGCTGCCAAGTGCAGCAGCAACGGCTGCCCCAGCAGCAGTCAACACGGAATGCATAGTTTAAGTAAAACAGCAGCAGCAACACTAGTTGATAATGTAGGAGCTGCTGCAAGTAGGGAGTATGCTGCTGCTGCACTGCGGCTGCTTAGCCATAACATGTGAACAGCAGCAGCAGCAGCAGCAACAGCAACAGCAGCAAGAAGCAAAACGAAACAAACCGTGCTGCATGCACGCGTGCAGAGAATAACGCTGAGACGAGGAGCAGCGGAGTTGCCCTATCTAGAGCTAGCAGAAGCAGCAGCACCAGCAGCACCAGCAGCAACAGCACCAGCAGTAACAGCAGCAGCAGCAGCTGCTGCTGCTGCGAGTTCTTCTGCTTTGCCGCAAGTAAGCAGCAAGGATAAGGAAGCCAACCTACAGAGCAGCAGCAGCAGCAAGAGCAGCAGCATCAGCAACAGCAGCAAAGTTCAATGCATGCAACTCGGGTGCTGCTGCTGCTCTTCAAAAGCAGCAAATACGAGGAGGGTCTACTCTGAACCCCGCTGCTGCTGCTGCTGCTGCTGCTGCTGCTGCTGCTGCTGCTGCTCTAAACCCAAGCAAAAGACCCTACACGCTGTGGCTTTTGTTTATGCCGCCTAAGCAAACGCATTGTAGCTGCTGCTGTTGCTGTTGCTGTTGTTGCTGCTGCTGTTCTTGCCGCTGCAGTTGCGGGTGCTGTTATTCCTACTGCTGCTCCTATTGCTGCTGCTGCTCCTGTTGCTGCTGTTGCTGCTGCTTCAAGTCCTTTCAAGCCGGTGGCTTCGCTGAAGCGTTTCAAACAGCTAAGCCCTAAACCCTAAAACCCTAAACCCTAAAACCCTAAACCCTAAACCCTGAACAATAAAACCCTAAACCCTAAACAATAAAACCCTAAACCCTAAACAATAAAACCCTAAACCCTAAACTCGCAAGGAGGGCAGCAGAAGTTTGCTGTTATTTACTTCTTCTCTCCTCCAATAGAGACAGAACACTCCTAGCCTAAACCCTAAACCCTAAACCCTAAACCCTAAACCCTAAACCCTACTCTTGTGGAGGCAAACGAAGAGCGTATATTTGCGTTGCTGCCGCATTCATCAGAAGGTGTTTGTGTATGACTGCATGCAGCAGCAGCTGCAGCAGCAATAGCAGCTGCAGCAACAACAGCAGCAGCAACAATAGCAACAGCAACCTGTTCTATGAGCAGCATCAGCAGCTTCAGCTAGAGAAGGTGCAGCTGTTCTTTCTGGTTTAGGGTTTGTTATGGTTTAGGGTTTATTAGGGTTTAGGGTTTATTAGGGTTTAGGGTTTATTAGGGTTTAGGGTTTATTCATTGGATGAGTTATAAAGAATAGTTATAGTTATAGAGAAGAGACGAGAGATAAATAAATAAATAAATAAATAAATAAATAAAGCAAATAAATAAATATATTAATTAATTAATTAATTAAGATAAACAAACAAGAGGCAGCACTTCTGCACGGGCGGCTACAGAGAGAGATCCTCATAATACGAGTTGCTGCTGTTGCTGCTGTTGCTGCTGTTGCTGCTGCTATTGTTTGCTGCTGCTGCTGCTGCTGTTGCTGTTGCTGCAGTGTGTCCGCTAGTCTCCTTTCTTTGATTTTGGTTGCATGCATCTAATTGTTTTTCTGCTGTGTATGAACAACACTGCGGTGCTGCTGTAGTAAGAGCTGCTGCTGCTGTTGCTGCTGCTGCTGCTGGTGCTGCTGGCAGCAGCAACATGCATGCATGCAAGGTGTATGGGTGTTAGCATATGTTTTGTTTATTTGTTTTTTTTATTTTTATTAATATACAGACGAATTTAAGATTATATTTTATCATTATTAAGTACAAGCGGCTGCGTCGTAGTTGCTACAGCATTGCCGTTGCTGCTGCTGCTGCTGTTGCATGCATGCTGCTGCTGCTACTGCTGTTGCTGCTGCTGCCCCACACTGGTGGCGATCCTTCTAACCTTTTCAGAGAATACAACAAAACGAAATTAAAAATAATTATTTAAATCATACGTAGGGTGTACATACACCAGAAGGAAGCCGAGTTAGCTGTGGGCAGCAGTAGCAGCTGCTACGGCTGCTGCACGTAGCAAAGCAATCGATACTTCTGCTGCTGCTGCTGCTGCTGCCGCAGCAGCAGCCGCTGCAGCTGCTGCAGTGGCAGCGGCTGCTGCTGCAGCAGCAGCTCTTGCATTTGCTGGTGCTGCTTCATTAACTAACTTTCTATACACGGCGAGCAGCAGGTGCAGCAGCAGCGCTGCTGCAGCAGGTGCAGCAGCAGCACGGCTTAGGGCCTGTCGGCAGCAGCCCCAGCAGCAGCAGCAGCACCAGCAACAGCAGCAGCAGCACCAACAACAGCAGCAGCAGCAGCAACATGGGGTCCCGTAGGCAAACAAAGGCTGCTGCTGCTGCTGCTGCTGCCTCTGCAGCAGGACAGCTTGGGAAGGGCGATGTGCTGCAGCAGCAGCAGCAGCAGCACTCGCTAGCAGCAGGAGCGGGTGTGTTTGCGAGGGCGTTGCTGCAGCAGCTGCAGCAGCACACTGCAGCAACGCATGCAGCAGGAGCAGCACAAGCTGGGGGGATATGGAGGCAGCAGCAAGCAGAGCTGCAGAATAATATACACTCAGGGTGTACATACACCAGAGAGTCTGCTGAGTTTGCTGACGCATGGCTGTTAGAGACGCTGCAAGGGCAGCAGCAGCAGCAGCAGCAGCAGCAGCAGCAGCAGCAGCGGCTGTTGGGCGCAGCCGGTGCAGCAAAGCTGCAGCAGCAGCAGGCCGAGCTCTTCCAACAGCTGCTGCAGGCTATTGAGGAGGAAGTTCAGGACCTGGAGCAGCAAGCAGCAGCAGAGCAGCAGCAGCAGCAGCAGCAACTGGGGCATGAAGCTACAGCAAAGACTCTGCAGCAGCTGCGCAAGGGGCGGCTGCTGCAGCGGGGACGGTTGTTTGCTGCTGCAGATGGAGACACAGAAATATACAGCAGCAGCAGCGATGAAGACAGCAGCAGCAGCAGCAGCAGCAACCAAGGGGGCTGGCTGCTGCAGCAGCAGCAACGATTTGCTGCTCCCTTGCTGCCTCTGCGTGCAGCGCTGCGGCAGGCAAGGCGGCAGCAGCAGCAGCAGCTGCGGGTGCAGCTGCTGCTGCAGCAATGGTTGCGCAGCAGGAGTTTGCATGCACTGCAGCAGCAGCAGTTGCTGCTGTCTAGCGGCGGGATTGGTGCAGCAATTGCTGCAGCAGCAGCAAAAGGAGAAGCATCAGAGGAGCTTCAGTTGATGCTGCAGCAGCAGCAGCAGCAGACCAAACCCCGCAGAGAGCTGCGGCTGTGGCAGGAAGCCGCGCGGTGTATCTCGACATCTTGCTGCAGCTTTGTTGAGTTGCTGCTGCAGCGCAGCAGCAGCAGCAGCAGCAAGCCAGCAGTGCAGCTGCTGCTGTCAAAGGGGGAGAGGAAGGAGCTGCTGCAGCTGCTGCAGCAGCAGCAGCAGCAACCCATAAGCCCCCCGCCTTGCTTTCTGTCTCACGGCTCTGCTGCGCTTAGCTGCAGCAGCTGCTTCTTCTGGTTGCTGCTGCAGCAGCAACATCTGCAGCAGCTGCTGCAGGGAGCATGCGATGTTCGCAGCGGAGGGGCAGAGACAAACTTTGGGCGCTGTTTGCTGCTGCAGCAGCAACTGCTGCTGCGGCAGCAGCTGCCAGACGCCGCTCTGGAGGAGGTATACCCTG